AAGGGAGCCTGAACTAGAGGAACTAATAAAACTTGAGATACTGGAGTATTCTGGTTTGAGTGAACCTGAAGATAGTTATAGAATGCGCAATAGAGGTTATAAAGTAATACATGGAGGGTACTATATGATTTTGGATTGTATTGTCAAATTCACATGATATATATTGTATCTATTTAGAAAAGAGTAGGATCAGTTGAATAAATTAATCTCATGAGCTATCATAAACTAACAGCAGAATTTTGTGTGATGATGTCAATAAAAAGATTCCTAAATAATACTACAGAGAAAGAGTAAATATTTACAAAATATGCTGATGCTTGAAGAGCATGAAAGAGATATTCCTGGACTCGAGCATCCTGAAGGAATAAAACTTCTTGAACCTGAATCACTGGAACTCTGGAGTTTCAAGCTAGGTGAAAAGTTGTCCTGAAGGAAGCCTGAACTACAGGAACTAAGAAAGCTTGAGATATTGTAATATTCTGGGTTGCTTGAACCTGAAGATGATTTTAGAATGTGCAATGAGGGTTACAGACGTTACTACATGATTTTTGATTGTACTGTCAAATTCACATGATAGATATTGTACTTCTTTGGAAGTTGAAGCTATCAATCTCATATAGAGCAAAATTATATCTATTCCCACATAAAACATCACCACAATATGAATGCAATAAAAAAATTTATTTACAAAGTATGCTGAAACTTGATGAGCATGAAGCTGACAAACTTGATCTATGGCTGTGATAGGAACTAGCTCTTGAGCAGCTGGAGGATATAAAACTCCTTCGACTTGAGTCACTATCATTATTGATACTCAATGGAGCTTGAAGACTGCCTGAACTAAAAGAGCTAATCAAGCTTGATATACTAGTGGATTCCAGACTCCTTGAACCTGAAGATAATTCAATGTTGAAATGGTAAAATCAGGGTATAAGATAATATGCTTCTGAATGGTGTATATGTTGGATGTTGATTGAACCAGAAAATATAATGCATGACAGTTATACTTTTTTATGATTTGTTGAAACAGATATTACAAAATCTATTTTTCATGTAAATTTGCTTGAGCTACCTTAAACTAAAAACAGAATTTTGTGTGACAATATCAATAGAAAGATTCCTATATAAAAACTACAGATAAAAGTAAATATTTACACAATATGCTGATGCTTGAAGAGCATGAAAGAGATATTCCAGGACTCAAGCATCCAGAAGAAATGAAACTTCTTGAACCTGAATCACTGGAACTCTGGAGTTTCATGCTAGGTGAAAAGCTGATATGATGGGAACCTGAACTACAGGAACTAATATAGCTTGAGATACTGGAGTATCCCTGGATACTTGAGCCTGATGAGAGTTTGAATGTAAAAAATATGGGTTAGAAAATGCAATATGGCCTGAAATGGTTCTTTAGTTAGTTATCAAATATATTTTTAAAAGATTCTGAGGAATGGGAATAGAACTGATCACAGTTAATGAAATCATTCTTGTACACAACAAAATAATATCTATCCCACTAAACAAAATCCCCACAATATGACTGCAGTAAAAGTTCATTTACATAGTATGCTGATACTTGAGGAACAGGAGGCTGACAAACTTGACCTATAGCTTCTAGAGGAACTGGCTCTTGAGTAGCTTGAGTTACTGATACTATAAACACTCATGGAAGGTGAAAGACTGTCACTGTGGAAGCCTGAACTACAAGAACTGCCAAGGCTATATATGCTGGAGAATTCTGGACTGCAAGAACCTGAGGATAGTATATAACTGTAATGGTGATATCAAGGATATGATACAATATGAATTGTTTGTGGCTTGAGGAGTATGGAGGTTATAAAAATATGGAAAAATGGAAAAGTTACACAGACTAGCCTCATTTTCAGAAATAATACCTCAGTATATGCAATAATTGGTTTGTTTTATAACATATATGTAAATTTACAAACAATATAAAGAATTACATGCTACGCTGATGCTTGAGGAGCAAGATGGGGACAGACTTGGGCTATTTAAGCTGAAATCATTAGAACTGCAGGAACTTGTAGTACCAGAACTTCTGTAACTACTGGGAGCTGTACTTTCTGAGCAACTAGAGCTTAATAAACTTGGTGAAATTGGAATGCAGGCAGAAGAAAGGCTTGAGACTGAACCTGCAGAAAATGGTTACGTTAAATATTTCAGAGGCATTAAATGTGACTGACAATTCAGAATAGATTATCATTGTCAAAAGTGCTTGTTTCGAGATATATGATTTATCATTTACTTATTATCTTTCATTTTCATATATACACCTAACAGCATATAGAGTAATGAAAACCTGATATTGTCCACTAAACTTTCACTAAAGGTGCAGAAACAACAAAAACAAAGGCAAAACAACCTACTTGATCTACCATACATGGAACTGCTCAAATTGTAAGAACTTGACACCTTAGAACAACTAAGGTGACCTACATAGCTTATAGAACCTGGGTTCTTGATACTTTCTTGATTCCCCAGAAATGAATTATCAGCCCTAATAAAGCTTGAAATGCTAGAGCTACTACTTCTGGAACTCTGCGAAAATGAACCTGTAGAGAGAATGTCAGGCTTTGAGACAAAAACTATATGAAGTTGTTATTTCAGACCAAAAATTATCAGAAACAAACCGTCTGATTTTTTCATACAGAGATACACTATGAATATGAAGAGTAAATACGGCTAATACAATTAAATATAAGATATAGGATTAATAAAGATAAAGATGTTTTCAAGTTTTTGCTCCTCATGCTGGTGTTAAAGAAGTAAAGTTACTTAGGAAATATATGCTTTTTGCATTTCTTCAACTTAGATTATTTATACAACTAGGAATGTTAAAACTAGAGCTTGTTGAACTAATAATAACTGCAGCATATGCAGTGTTAAGACTGCTGGGAATACTTTAAAACAAACTTATTGATAAAGGGATAAAAGGGAAAATAAATACAACAAAGGCAACCGCAGAGCTATTTGAAAATGAACCCGAAGGAAAAAAATTTGGTCTTCTGAGATAGTATGAAGGAAAAATCAAGCAATATCTCTGTAGGATGCGAGGATTTAAGCATTTACAAATTCAACACATAACTGCTTTGCTGATGACACTGGAAATAAAGCTGACAAAGACTAAGCTGCTTGATCGTCTAAACCTTGGCTACTGAAATGGCTGTGAACTGAAATGCATGACTTTTTAGAACTACTTCTTTCCATCTACTAAAACCGAACCTGCTATTAAAGATGAAAACTTTGGATTTAGATGAGAGGGAGTTCAGGTTAGCTGAGAAAAGAATGACAATATATAAACTGTTGATATGCATGTGCTACTTGAGAATGAACTCAGTCAATAATTCATTTAGGAACTGATTTGGAAATAAACATTAAACATACATGTAGATATATATAACATAAGTACATATGTATGCATTTAAATGTATGTATATATATATATATATATATATATATATATATATATTATATATATATATATATATATATATATATAATATATATATAATATAATATAATATATAATATATATATATATATATATATATATATATATATATATATATATATATATATATATATATATATATATAATATACATATACATAACATATGTAATATACATATATATATATATATATATATATATATTATATATATAATATAATATATATATAATATATATTATATATATATACATATACATATACATATACATATATATATATATATATATATATATATATATATATATATATATATATATATATATTATATATATATATACTATATATATATATATATATATATATATATAATATGTATATGTATATGTATATATATATTATATATATATATATATATATATAATATATATATATATATATATATATATATATATATAATATATATTTCTCTTCAAATACATCTCTTGTAGTGTGAAGATATTCATTCTCATTCATACCTTTCTATATTTGTCAACATGAATATGGTTCATTGAACAACTTTCCAAGCTGCTGGCACAGTTTGGACTAAAAGAAGTAATAAAGCTTGAACAACTTATACTACTAAAAATAGAAGAAAAAAAAAATGTACTTCTAAACTATTTAGGTCTAAATAACTTGAACAGGAAGATAATGTTAAACTATACATGAAAAAACAAGTTTTAGTAAAAAATATGTATTTTCAATTACATATTTATATGTACAGAAATGAGAATTGTGCTCTAAGAATGAATTCTAAGCAATATACTATACATACTATATGGCATAACTACAAGATTTATTACTAGTATTTACTTTTTATGCTGACACTCGAAGAACAAGATAAGGATGAGATGCTGGATCTGCTTGCTTCTAATTCCACTGAACTGACATAGCTTGAACTCTCAGAACTGAATAAACTCAAACTGCTGAAACAACTGAAACTCTGGCTACTTGAACAACTGTAGAATGAGACACTTGAGCTGCTAGACATTGATATGCTAGCTAAGGCTTGTCCCACTTGAAACTGAACCTGGAGTTTAAAAAGAAAACAAAAATGATCAAACCATATTTAACTCTAGTTGAAAGATTAGAATCCTAACTGGAGAACCATCTGGCTTGCAAATAATGACAGTGAAGGAGAATACAGCTGAAGACCATGATTTGTGCTTCAGTATGGTACGATAAATCAGGGGATTTTTTACTAATGCATAAATATAACATCTGCACTTTGCATTTAATGATATAAGTGAACTTTACTTGTGATGGCACTTGATGAGGAGGAGAGAGGTATAATACTAGAAATGCTACTTGATTCTAAGCTTGAATGACTCTCTAAGCTGCTGATGGAGCTTGGAGTGATAGGCAGAATAAGGCTTGAACTGATACTACTGAAGATTGAGAAACTTGGGATTCTGAAGCTTGTAGAGGTTGAGTTATTTGAACCACTGGAGCATGGAAGAGCTGAATAACTTGGACTTAGAGTGGGAATGCCTGAAGCGGAACCTAAAGGAAAATTATAAGTCAAAAGTTTGCAACGCAACCATTACTATTCCAGTATAAAAAGAAAAAAAAACATATTTACAGAGATAAAAATGAGCATTACTTTCCCAGCACAGTTAAAAAGACAACATTCCATATTAAATGACTTTCCACTTTAGGCAAAGTATCAGAATTGTTTTGAAAGATATCTAACATAATCAAGAATGCACTGACAGTCAACCATGTATATGTTAAATAAGAGTTATACAAGATGAAAAGGATGAAAATGACTGAGAGACACTTGAGCTAATGTGCACCTAGAGAATGAACTATTTGAATAACAGAAAAATTAATAACTTAAACTAAGATTCACCAGAAGCTAAACCAAAAGAAAATGCTAACTTTCACAGTATTAAAAAGGAGTTATGCACCTGCGATTTGTACATCTCAATGCAAATATAGTTTTCACATATACTTGATATTCATACTCAGAATAACACAAGGATTTAACTACAACTATTCAATGAATTACTTTCTTTGTAANAGAGAGAGAAGAGCAGAGAGAGAGAGAGAGAGAGAGGGGGGGGAAGGGAGGGAGGGAGGGAGGGAGCGAGAGGAGAGAGAGAGAGAGAGAGAGAGAGAGCGAGAAGAGAGAAGAGAGAGAGAGAGAGAGAGAGAGAGCAGGAGAGAGGAGAGGGGGGGGGTGAGGGGGGAAGGAGGGGAGAGAAGAGAGGGAGGGAGGGAGGGAGGGAGAGAGAGAGAGAGAGAGAGAGAGCGAGGAGTGAAGAAGAGGAAGAGAGGAGAGAGAGGACGAGAGACGGGAAGGAAGAAGAGAAGTAGAAGGAGCGGAGAGAGAGAGAGGAAGTGAGAGACGAGAGAGAGAGGTGAGAGGAGAAGAGGAGGAGAGAGAGAGAGGGGTGGGGTTGGGTCGGAAGAGGAGGGAGAGGGAGAGAGAGATAGAGAGGAGAGAGAGAGAGAGAGAGAAGAAAGAAAGAAATAGAGCGTGAGGCGAAAAGAAAACGAAAAAGTAGAAAAAGGCGAAGATAAGACATGACAACATTAGATTAGATGAACACGAAACTGGGGATAATGAGAGAAAGAGAGAGAAAGGAAGATAAGAGAAAGAAAGAGAGAATAGGACAAAAGAAGAGAGAAAGAGGGGTTAAGGAGGGGGTGGAGGGGGGAGAGCTACAACCGCCCATGGTGTTTGGCCAGTGCACATTTTTCAAAAATATTAACCAGCCTGTCAAAACACTACAGAGGGGTGTGGGGGGGTAGGGGGAGGGGAGAGGGAGGGGGGGAGAAGGGTGTAGCGTAGAAGGGAGGGGGTAGGGGAAGGGTGGGGGAGGGAGGGAGGTAAAGGAGGGAGGGAAGATTAGGATGATAAGGGGTAGGTAGGGAGGTGGAGAAAATGGAGAAGGAAGAGATGAGAGAGAGAGATAGAGAGAGAGAGAGGACAGAGAGAGAGAGAGCAGAGAGAGAGAGAGAGAGAAGAGAGAGAGAGAGAGAGAGGAGAGGAGAGAATTGTCTCATCCTTTATGTGTAGCTGTATGTTCCTGTCTGTTTGTCTAATGCTGTCTGTCTTTGTCTCTGCATCTGTCTCTCTGCCTCTGTTTCTTTCTCTCTCGTCTTCTCTCTCTCTCTTCTCTCTCTCTCTCTCTCCTTCCTTTCTCATCCTCTCATCTTCATCTCTCTCTCTCTCATCTCCCTGTCTCTTCAGGGACTTCGAGTCCCATCCCATCCCGTTCTCCTCTCTCCTCTCGTCCTGCCGCAGGTCGTCTCTAGCATCTTACGCATCCTTCGTTCTCTCCGATCGCCTCCTCTCTCCTCCTTCGCTCCATCTCTTCTCCAGCCATCACCTTTCTCCCTCCTCCTCGCCCATCACTCCTCTCGATCGCTCTTGTCTATCGTCCTTCTGCTCTTTGGCGCCTCGTCTCCTCCTATTCCTCTCCGGCCCCTTCTCTCTTCTCCATCGTTCCGTCTCCTCTCATCTCGCGTCTCTCGGGTTACGACCCCATTCCTCTATTCTGTCTGATTCCGACCTTTCTCGTTCATCCCGTCTCTATTTAGTAGTTTGTAATTTATAGTTGAATTTAGCTATGCTATTGTCGTGTTACGATGGACCACTGGATTCGCCGCAATTACCACTTCCAACACACACACGACACACACACACATCACACACCACACACCACCACAACACACACACACACACATTGCGGCACACACACAACGCACACCGTCCACACAGCACACACATGCACAAGTCACACCACCATCACATCACATACACACACTCACAACACTACACACCCCACACACACCACTCACACAAAGCCCACACACACACACACACATCACAAACAACACACACAACACACAAGCCACACACACTACACACACACACACACACACACAAACACACACACACACACACACCACATACCAACTCACACACACACATACAACCACATACACACACAAACACACACCCACACACACACACACTACACAGACACACACACAAACACACACACACACACACAACCACACAACACACACCACACACACCCACACACACACACCATACACACACACACACACACACACACACCACACACACCACACACACAGGCAAAGCCACAACACCACACACACACACACACACACACACACACACAGCAGCAACACACACACACAACCACACACACAATTAGGCACACACACCACACACACACACTACACACACACACACACACACAACACAAAGCATCACGGCACGGTGTGGCAAGAACAAAACCACACACATCAAAGAAATGTTTACAATTGCAACACACAACATACAGGCACACCACACCACACACACACACGCACACAACACACAACAAAGAAACAAATAAACAAACACACGCACACACACACAAAGAAACAAACACACACACACACACACACACACACAACACACACAGCACACAACACACACACACACACACACACCACACACACACACACACAAACAAACACATATATTAATGTTACCTTTTTTATAACGGACACAAGCCAAAACTTCGTAGTTTAAATCAAAAAACAACAGTATTTCGCCATAAAGTATTTGAATATAACGAACTACATAGTTGTGGTTGTTAAGGTGAAAAAATGTTGTTAGTGTTAATGATGTTGTAAATCATCATTATCATTATTGTTATTGTTATTATCGTTGTTACTGTTTTCATTATTATTATCATTACTATTACTATCATTACTATCATTATCATTATCATTGATATTAGTGCCATTGCTATAATTGTTATTACTATCATTATCATTATTACTGCCATTATTATCATCATTTTTATTATCATTTCATTATTATCATTATTGTTATTATTATTATTATTATTATTATTATTATTATTATTATTATTATTATTATTATTATTATTATTATTATCATCATCATCATTTCATTATTATTATTATTATTATTATCATTATCATTATCATTATTATCATTGTTATTTTTATTATCATCATCTTTGCTATTATAATTACTGTCATTGATACTATCATCACCATTATTGCTGATTTTGTTATTATCTTTATCAGGGTTTATAGTATCAATATTACTACCAGAGCTGTTTTAGAATCACTATTATTAACATTTATAATTCTAAATCTATTCTGACTTTTTGATAAATAATCGGTGAAAATAAATAACTTTAATTCCCTACCTGGCATCTCCAACCGGTGTTGCCATCTCACCCACTTAAGCGACCTTTTTATTTATTTACCACCCCCATTTTTTTGGCGATATATATTTTTTTTTTTAGATACTTTCTCCACCAAGACTTTTCGAATAGATTTGAGTAGCCCTCCGCAATTATCCACGGTCATTCCCTCGAGAGGCGGCAGCAGAAGGAAGCGGAACGTAGACGCACGCAGAGAGAGGAGAAAGATAATTGAATTCGTGAAGTTAAAAGCGCGTGAATGTTTAATGGGGGCAGGGCGGGGAAATTTTGCGATTTTCCCGCCATTTGCGCGTGGCGGTTCGGCACGCGAGGAGGTGGCGCTGGCGGAGGCGTTTTTGTCTTTGTTTTTTGTTTTTTGTTTTGTTGTTGTTGTCTTTTCTTGTTGTTTTGTTTTTGTTTTTGGTTTTGGTTTTGTTGTTGTTGTCTTTTCTTGTTGTTTTGTTGTTTGATTCTATGTTTTTTAGTTTTTGTTTTTTTCTTGCTCTTTGGGGGGATTTACTGCGTTTGTTTTTGTTTTTGTTTTGTTTTGTTGTTGTTTTTCTTTTCTTGTTGTTTTGTTGTTTGATTCTATTTTTTTTTTTAGTTTTTGTTTTTCTTGCTCTTTGGGGGATTACTGCGTTGTTTTTGTTTTTTTTTGTTTTGTTTTGTTTTCTTTTCTTGTTGTTTGTGTTGATTCTATTTTTTTAGTTTTTTGTTTTTTTTCTTGCTCTTTGGGGGATTTACTGCGTTTGTTTTTGTTTTTGTTTTTTTTTTGTTGTTGTCTTTTCTTGTGTTTGTTGTTTGATTTATTTTTTTTTATTTTCTTTTTTCTTGCTCTTTGGGGGATTTACTGCGTTTTTTTGTTTGTTTGATTCTATTTTTTTTAGTTTTTGTTTGTTGTTTTTTTTCTTGCTCTTTGGGGGGGGATTTACTGCGTTTGTTTTTGTTTTTGTTTTTGTTTTGTTTGTTGTTGTCTTTTCTTGTTGTTTTGTTGTTTGATTCTATTTTTTTTTTTAGTTTTTGTTTTTTTTCTTGCTCTTTGGGGGATTTACTGCGTTTGTTTTTGTTTTTTGTTTTTTGTTTTGTTGTTGTTGTCTTTTCTTGTTGTTTTGTTGTTTGATTCTATTATTTTTAGTTTTTATTTGTTTTTTTTCTTTGCTCTTTGGGGGGGATTTACTGCGTTTGTTTTGTTTTGTTTTGTTTTGTTGTTGTTGTCTTTTCTGTTGTTTTGTTGTTTGATTCTATTTTTTTTTTGTTTTTTTTTTTTCTTCTCTCTTGGGGGGG